ATCATCGATTCGGGGTAGTGGGTAAACGTCTTTTTTAGTAACTTTGTTTAGTCGTCTGTAATCCACACAGAAACGCCAGTTACCATCCTTCTTCTTCACTAAAATAACCGGCGATGACCATGGACTTTCTGAATGACGTATAATCCCGGCGTCTAGCATTTTGTCCACTTCCGTTTGGATTGCTTGGCGTTCTGTAGGGGAGACTCGATATGGTCTATGCTTAATAGGCTGATGGTTTCCAGTTTCTATTTTATGTTTGGTTACTGAAGTTTGCTTTACAGGTTCATTATTTTTATCAAATATTTTTTCATATCGTTTTAAAATTGATAAGATTTGAGACTGCTGCTCTTCTGATAAATCATGACTAATTAAATTTTGTAAAAAATTAAAGTCACTTTTATCAGCATGACTGGCATGTTTCGCATTTTTCACCTCCTTATTAAATTCAGAACATTCTGAAATAGCCGTCAAGTTATTTTCTTCAACCCTTTGAATTTTTCCCAGGCACATTCCCTTAGGGACTATTTGAGCTGTGGTGCTAGAATTTACGATCCAAAGTTTTCCTTTATTATGGGAAAGCCTGAATAATGCACAGGGAAGTGTTAACCCTTTTCCTATCAATACCTTTTTCGAAGGTTCAAAAAGTACCTGATTTTGCCCATTAAGCTCTTCACTCATAACATTTATTAGTTTGGTTGATTCGGCTGGGATTACGACGCTTCTGCTAGCCACAACCTTTCCCATGGAAGCTGGTGAATTTAGTACATCTTTGGCCTCTTCCAATCTGATTTCGGCGCGTCCACAATCAATCACGGCATTTGATGCCTCTAGGAAATCCCATCCGAGGATAATACTTGGGTTACTATTAGGGAGGACGATAAACTCAAGCGGCTGTTCCAATCCATTGATGCTCAAGCTGATTGTGCATCGGCCGATCGATGTTACATTCTTGCCATCAGCAACTTTCAGAGTCATTCCGCTATCTTTGAACATGGTCTTTTTTAATTGTCGTCTCAATCCATCAGAGATAACTGAAAAAGAGGAACCTGAATCGACCAGAGCAGAAAATGCAATGTCATCAATGATGATTTCGACATAATTTTGTTGTAATTTAGCGGCTGTCGACGATGGAGGGTTTTTCACACCCGCGGCTTCCCCCTCGAAAGAAGACGCGACATTTAGTTTTTTTCTAGATTGTAGCGGCGTGGGGATTGGCTTGTATGGCGGCCTGGGGAAATGGACTGGCGTCTTGGGGATCTTCCTCTGTTTGGATACGGCGATTGTCTGCGGTAGATTTGGCTTCTTATGGCTTGGTGGTTACCCATTTGAGGTTCTTGTGTGCTTGGTGCGTGTCCTTCGGGTCTCTGCGTCCATTGTCGGCGTTCTCTACAATAGCGCTTAACATGGCCTGGGCGGCCGCAATTAAAGCATATTGGGATGTTGTCATGCGTCCTCCATTCATCCGTTCTTCGTTGTGGTGGCGTCTGGCTATATATGGGTGTTTGGGTAGGGTACTGACGTCGTGGAACCTGGTTGAATGTACGTGTTTGGTTGGGGTACGACTGTCGTGGCGGAGGCCTTTGAATAGGCTTCGAAATTGCTGCTACGTTTTTTTCAATCTCTTCTCGGATAATTTCTTTCAGAGAAGATGGTTCAGGGGTAGTTGACTCCGGATTTAGTGCGCGATGAACTTCTTCACGCACGATGCGTCGGATTAAGTCTTCCATTGATTCAGAGTCTGCTGAATCGATGGCGGCAACATTCGGTAGTCTGTCGAATACTACACGTTTATTTACACGTTTTTTATTTGAAGCCTCGATTTTTCGGCACCATTTGATGAACTCATCGATAGTTGCGATGTCTAAAATGATTATTGACTGGTATATCTCCTCCGATATTCCTTTCGTCAAGTGTGCGACTATTTCATTTTCCATCATAGCTGGATTCACTTCTCTGCACAGATGGAGAACATCTTGAATGTAGGAATCACTGGTCTCCTCCTTCCTCTGAGCTCGAGTTTTGAGGTTCTCTGCGAGCTGATCTTTTTGGGTGACATGATGTCCGAAATTCTGAGAAAACATTTTCACAAAAATATCCCATGAATTAATTTTCTCTTCAACATTTTCGTACCATCTGTGCGCTGTTCCTTGGAGGAAAAAATAAACATTTGCGAGGCACATTGAATCATCCCAGCAGTTGTAGCGAGCGACGCGATGGAATTCTTTCAACCATTTTTCTGGATTCTGGTTGCGTTCTCCAGTAAAAATAGAAGGGTTTCTAAAAGGTTGAAAGTGGTACTCACCCATTTTTGTCTGTGTCTCTTGCTTGATCATAGCAATGTTTTCTTCAGGTTCTAGTCCTTGTAGTCTTCGGCTTCTTCTAACGGCTTGGGCGTCGAGGGAATATTCCAGCTTCTCCACCAGTTGTCACGGTAGTGATAACGAGTATAACAAAAGTTTAAGTAGAAATAATTTATTTATAAAATGCTAACTATTTCTAAAAAATTATTTACAAGTAATAATTTACAAGAATGGTAAGGGGTGATGACTATGCAAATATTAATGATGATATACCACAGAATATTTAAAATAATTATTCAGTGACATCTGCCATGCGGGTGCCCCGGGTTCGATTCCCGGCCGATGCATTTTTTTTTTTTTCATACAATTTTTAAAACTCATTTATATTATTAAAATATATGTGCTTTTCCTGTCTATGTACAGATTTATGGTGTATGTATACAAGTTATTTGCAAATTGCGTGGCAAATTTGCCCTTTCGCTCGCAAGCAGCACCTCTAGCGGTGAAGATGGGAGGTAATATCAGCTGACCTAATGGACATGTAAAATGTGTTTTAACAGGACAGAGAAAAATCTGGAAAAGATATTTTTCGGATTTTTAGTCAATAAAAATAAATTGACAGGTTTTTGGAAAAATGTAGTTGTTTTTTATTCAGAAAATGATAATGACAATATTGCTGTATCATATTTAATTCAGTTATCAGCGTCATGCACAATTCTTTTACGTTAAGTCACGTGTCAAGTTACGGTAAGTAAAAATTTAAAAATTAAAAAAAGATGCCGAAACCCGGGATCGAACCAGGGACCTTTAGATATACAGTCTAACGCTCTCCTAACTGAGCTATTTCGGCCTATTTTAGTTATTTCTATAGAAGCTTCTATCTTTATAATTATGTATATTTTCAAAAAGTTGATTCGCACCTCTTCGCTGGAGACCATGGGAATACTGACTGATTCATTACGCTAACCTAATTAATATATACAGTTATCAGCGTCATGCACAATTCTTTCTTAATTCTGTCACCGTTTGCTTTTGGTTCAGTGGTAGAATGCTCACCTGCCACGCGGGCGCCCCGGGTTCAATTCCCGGCCGATGCTTTTTTTTTTTTACAATTTTTAAAACTCATTTATATTATTAAAACTAGCGGACGTACCCGGCTTCGCCCGGGTTTTACCCGAGTAAAAGTTTGTCTAACGAATCTCTCGATAAAGTGAACATTTTTTTCCCGGTCCCTTGAAAAATACTCGATAAGTTGAATAAAATCAATATTAATTGGTTCCCTCGGTAATTGGAAGTTAAAGGAATAGTATCTTGCCTTGGAATTGTATCATTATTCTTGTATGGATGTACCCGGCTTCGCCCGGGTTTTACCCGAGTAAAGGTTTGTTTAACGAATCTCTCGATAAAGTGAACATTTTTTCCCGGTCCCTTGAAAAATACTCGATAAGTTGAATAAAATCAATATTAATTGGTTCCCTCGGTAATTGGAAGTTAAAGGAATAGTATCTTGCCTTGGAATTGTATCATTATTCTTGTATGGATGTACCCAGCTTCGCCCGGGTTTTACCCGAGTAAAGGTTTGTTTAACGAATCTCTCGATAAAGTGAACATTTTTTCCCGGTCCCTTGAAAAATACTCGATAAGTTGAATAAAATCAATATTAATTGGTTCCCTCGGTAATTGGAAGTTAAAGGAATAGTATCTTGCCTTTGAATTGTATCATTATTCTTGTCTCAAATAAATTGCCGTGTCATCCTGAATTTTGTCTTTCCTAATTTTCTACATTACAAAATCATCGTATCATCATGATAATATTTAGAGCAGATTGTTGAATTATAACAGATAAATTAGAATATTTATCTTGATTATTTCTAGGCGAAAAGTTATTTCAAAAATTTTATTTGCTAGAAACCTTCCCAGTACTATACTAAATAACTTCCCAAAGTTTCATGGCGATCCAATGAGTGGTTTGGTCAGGCATAAAGGACAAACAAACAGACACACATACATTCATTTTTATATATATAGATATATGTGCTTTTCCTGTCTATGTACAGATTTATGGTCTATGTACACAAGTATACAAGTATGTATACAAGTTATTTGCAAATTGCGTGGCAAATTTGCCCTTTCGCTCGCAAGCAGCCCCTCTAGCGGTGAAGATGGGAGGTAATATCAGCTGACCTAATGGACATGTAAAACGTGTTTTAACAGGACATAGAGAAAAATCTGGAAAAGATATTTTTAGGATTTTTAGTCAAGAAAAATAAATTGTCAGGTTCTGGGAAAAACGTAGATGTTTTTTTTCAGAAAATGATGATGACAATATTGCTGTATCATATTTGATTATCAGATACAAAATTATATCCGGAAAAATACCAAAAAGCAGAGACCACGGGTGAAGCCAGTTCATTTTTAGTATGCAGGAACAAAATTCTAACAGAAAAACATTCATTCGAGCAGAAGACACAAAGCCAGATCATCTCTTTATAAATATATCGCTTCTCAGACACAAACTTTGGAGCGGGACGTTTAACAAGAATGACATCCACGGCACCAATTTATAATTGTAACGAATAGTATTTGAATAAAAGCATTTAATCGGGTAAAACCCGGGCATTGCCCTTTCTTAATCAATTCTGTCACCGTTTGCTTTTGTGAATGGAATAAATACCCAAATATGGCCATTTCTCATAACCATCGGTGGTTCAGTGGTAGAATGCTCGCCTGCCACGCGGGCGGCCCGGGTTCATTCTTGACCTACCCTGAGGTCTAAAATTGTATCAACTTGCATTATCATCGGGTTTGAGCAAGTATACCAAATTTCATACTTCTAGATGCTCAGAGGGTAAATATATTTTAAAAATTATATAAATTCCATATTACCATTTAAGATGGAAAATTTGCCGGGAGGAAATTAATCCATAGAAGCAATGGGCGCTGTTGGTGTTGTGGCTTTGTCACCGACCCGATGCCGCTAGTTGCGGCGACGGTCAATAGATGGCGTCAGATTCTGATGTTTATTTTTTAACGGGAGAAGCGCCCATTGCTTCTATGGATTAATTTCCTCCCGGCAAATTTTCCATCTATGTTTTGCCAATAGCCACATTGCCAGCAAAACACCTCTTTGGTAGATTGTGAGGATTCCATTAGATCCCAAGTGGATCTCATGGAATAAAGTCCGCCCTAGACTCTGACGAGGGCCATTAGCCCGAAACCATGGTCTCTAGGTGGACGCTTATCAGTTTGCCAAAGTAGGTGTTGTGGCTTTGTCACTGACCCGATGCCGCTAGTTGCGGCGACGGTCAATAGATGGCGTCAGATTCTGACGTTTAATTTGACGGGAGAGGCGACCATTGCTTCCATAGATTAATTTCCTCCTGGCAAATTTTCCATCTATATATGTATATGTATGTAGAAATTTTAAATAGGGTTAAGAATTTGAGTAGCCCATTTCTTTATTCTAGGATGTGTGTTTATTAAATAAATAAGAATAAATATATATATACATGCATACCTTGATGTTTTTTATGTTCGTAAGTGGTAACCTTATAATAGGAATTCAAAGTTGTAAAGGTGATAGTTGAGTCAGCCTCAATATCCTTTATACAAATGTAAGATTCTCATATGTTGAGTTTATAAAGAAACTTTGGACTAAAGGTCAAATGTCACATTATTATTTAATTTTTTTTTTTTAGATCCACTTTAGGGTTTATCCTTAATACTATATTGTGATATGTAGAGTCAGACCTAATTTAAAATGGAACTTTAGTTCATTATCTAAATTTCTAGATTAGAGTACATTTGCATATGGTTTGGACGAAGTTTTTAAGCATTTATAATTCAATTAATCTTATATTGGTTTTGTGTTTTGTGTGTTTGCCATTGTGTGTTTTTGCAATTTTCTCCGACATTTTCAATATTATTAGAAATTTTTTTGAAGTGCATCAGAGTTAGAGACATACATCGTTTGAAGCCACAAGTAAAGTATATTATTTATACATCAGAAAAACTTGAGCTTACACATTTGGATCGGAATTAAATCGTTCCTCTCCAACAAACAATACATAATATATATAAAATGAAAGTATTTAAAAGCACGAATTTTTCTTTTATACATAATACAAACTCTACTGCCCTTACTGCGATGAAAAATATATTGGGAGGGCTTGGCTCATCAGTGGTGAACCCTCCCAGAGGTTTCGCCAATTTAATCCACCAGACCGCTTCTCAGTGCTCTAATACTGTATTGGACGATTCTGCTTATATACGCAGCACTGAAAGATGGAATCTCAGAAATGGTTTTTAAGAAAACTATGGACATAAGTTTATAGGACAGTAGAATTACATTAAAATATTTGCATCGAGCAATGCTCTTCCGCAAACAATAAAGACAAGGCCAGTTAGGCATAAATTAACGCAAAGCAATAACGCGCCATCTATACATATAAAATGAAAGGATTTAAAAGCACGAATTTTTCTTTTATACATAATACAAACTCTACTGCCCTTACTGCAATCATTACTGCACAAGGTAAAAAAAAAAAAAAACGTAGACATCAACTTTCGATTACCATAACTATATTGTAAGATTGTAAACTCAAAAGGAGCTTCTTCTATATAACAATGTAAGTCTAGATAATTGCACGCATCTCACATCACACCTTGTCTTTACGCCGTTGAAGAAAGATGTCGTTCGAAACCTAGCGAAATAAACATATTCTATAGAAGAAGCTCCTTTTGAGTTTATAATCTTACAATATAAAAACACAAAATCCAAATATATAAATAGTGTGTGATGTTTTAGTAACAGCTTTGTTTCCATCATCAGACAAAAGTACTGAATGATAACGATGTTACCAAAACGTTGCACTATTTAGAAACACAAGGTAATAAGAACAAATTTATATAAATATTTATTTTTGGTCTTGGATTTGGTATTATTACCTTGTGTTTCTCTCAAGCTCTACAAGGTTGATAGCCTGATATGATTGAGTGGATATAAGAAAGAAGACCTTGTGTTTCTTATCTATAATCCAAAATGTGCTCTATTGGTCACACACTTTATTTATTTGTATTTGGTATTATTAACAGAGGTTTGATTAGGCCTGGTCAACAGATAGTAGGCTTAGGATCCCTTGCATTGTTTACAACTCTATCCAATTAGTAACAAGGATTTTTTACATAGAAGTTAGACAATGTTACCATTTCTACTAGCAATGCATTTTACAGTAGAACCTCTCTTAGTGGACACTAAGGCTAGCCGATACGTCTAAATAATGGACAATTTTTAATGACAAAATTGCCCTTCCATTTTAAATATGTTCACACTAAACAGACATTCTCTCTAGCAGACGTTTCCAAACATTTTCCCAATGGATATTTCTAAACAACGGACATTTTCCCAATGCATCACTTACTGAATTTGCATATAAGACAGTGGTCGGCAAACTGTAGCTCGTGAGCCACATGCAGCTCTTTCGGTGTGAAGCTGCGGCTCTTTAGTTTCATACGCAAATATTATTTATGCAATAATATACTATTTATTGTTGGCAATAAAAACATTTTGTGGCTCTTTAAAAAATTTGAAATTTTGTAAATTGTAATTTTTGTCTCTTCCGACTCAAAAGATTGCCGATTCCTGATCCTTTTTTTTTTTTGCTTATCCCTAGTATATGTTGTACAGGCCATGATAATCATGGTGTGTAATGGTAGGTGACTACTTTCACTGTAAGTGCACCACGTGTCTACACATGTGAAAAGCAGTTCGACTTTTGCACTATTATAAACATTCCTGCTAGAAGAAAATTCAGAGAAAATTAAAGTTAAACAATATATTTTATAATAAAATTAATTTCAATGTTTAATGGATTTAACTAGTTTGCTATAACTATTTACTAAGTGTTAAACAAGGATATAATATGTTTTAATAAAGATGATTAGGCATAATTTGGATTATAGATTAGAAACACAAGGTAAAAAGACCAAATCTACATAAAAAGTATGACATTTCGGTAAGAACATTGTTTCCATCATCTGACAAAATTATTGAATGAGAAAATATATTTCAGCATGTTTTAAATAGTTACTGTTATCAAGTGTGTAAACAAGATGCTGTGATCTATTTTCTCATTCAGTACTTTTGTCTGTTGATGGTAACAATGCTGCTACTAAAAATTCCATACACTATTTATTTATTTGGATTTGGTCTTATTACCTTGTGTTTATAATCTATAATTCAAATTGTTACCTTATCATATAAATGCACCATGTGTAGAATCTGACTTAAAAAATTCTCCAATGGCCCCCGATTCTTGCAAAAGTCCAACTCTACCAGCGAGTGCAAAGTAACCAAAGGGGGTTCTGGCACATTTGTAAGTGCAAAGTCAAACTGCTTTTCACACGTGTAGACATGTGGTGCACTTAGAGTAAAAGCAGTCGCCAAACTTCTACCCACCATGATTATCATGGCCTGTACAACGGGTACTAGGAAGAAACAAAAAAAAATCTGACTTTTTGCACTTATAAGGTGTTATACAGTGTAACCTCCCTTTAGAGGCCACCTCTCTACAAAGGACAGTTTTCATTGAAAAATTATAATTTTAACAATTTAGCAACTCTCCGGTAAGAAAACACCTCTCCTTAAAGGACACTTTGGCTCTGCAACTAGGTGTTGTCCTTTACAGAGAGGTAGTTCTACTGTATTTAGCAACTTTCCAGTAAGAGGACACCTCTCCCTAAAGGTCACTTTGGCTCTACAATTAGGTGTAGTCCTTTACAAGGAGGTTCTACTGTACCTTCATTTGTTTCTTGCACTCACTCTGGTGGGTGTGTGAGCCTTATCCCTAGTACACGTGGTACAGTCCATGATAATCATGGTGGGTAGAAGAAGTCGACTGCTTTTACTGTAAGTGCACCACATGTCTACACACGTGAAAAGCAGTTCAACTTTGCACTTACAAATAAATGTGCCAGAGCCCCGCTTGATTACTTGCACTCGTTGGTGGAGTTGGACTTTTGCAAGAATAGGGGGCCATTGGAGCATTTTTTTTTAATCAGGAAAAAAGTGCCCAATGCGGGAATCGAACCCGGGTCGTAACGGTCGAAAACCAACAGTTTATACCAGCCTTCCACCGACCCCCCGTGGGAATCTTGGTTTCCAGAAACAAATACTAGCAGAACAACCATCCAAAACATGTAGGTGTATGGCTATATCATTGAGGGAGAGACACAATATCAAAAATAGATTTATTTATTTAGTTTTCCCCATTGTACAAACATCAGTTGGAAGACAACTGTATAGACCCTCTTGTATACATACATTGTAACATCATTTTTACCTGCTGTTGTATTTTTTTATATATCACACATAACAAACAAATAGTACTTTGTAAATATTGTAAAGAGAAATAGGTTTATATATACTAAATATCAAAATAAAATGGAGATTGAGTCTGCACAAGACACCCACTCTTCTTCAATCTCCATTTTATACTAATGGTTTATATGATTAGCTAATCGTCTAACCTTAATTCAACACTTCCTTTAATTCAACCGAAAGCTCTGATCCCTTGGGGTGTTGAATTAAAGAGGTTCGGCTGTATTAAGATTTGATCTTGTTATACCTCGTGTTTCTTACCTATATTTTATACAATCTTATTATTTTGAAAATAGAGCCATCCATAAATAGATCTTTAATTAATGATAAAGCACAATTTGGATTATAGATTATAATAAAAGAAAATAAGACCTAATCCAAATAATTTATTAGTGTGTGACGTTTTGGCAACAACATTGTCACCATCATCAGACAAAAGAATAAATGAGAAAAAATATCACAGCAAGTTCTTATATAGTACTGTTACCAAGTGTTTAAACAAGATAACAGATAAGGAAAATAGTTTTTTTAAGTCAACTTGAAATTTATTCTTTTTGTCTGATGATGGTGACAATGTTGTTGCCGAAACGTCACACACTAATAAATTATTTGGATTAGGTCTTATTTTCTTTTATTATAAAGCAGATCAAAAAAATTAAAATATACATTTATCAGAGTCATCAACAATCAATCAACAATCAATAATTCTGTCACCGTTTGCTTTTGTTAATGGAATAAATACCCAAATAGGGCCATTTCTTATAAGCATCGGTGGTTCAGTGGTAGAATGCTCGCCTGCCACGCGGGCGCCCCGGGTTCGATTCCCGGCCGATGCTTTTTTTTTTACAATTTTTAAAACTCATTTATATTATTGAAACTAGCGGATGTGTACCCGGCTTCGCCCGGGTTTTATCCGAGTGAAAGTTTGCCTAACGGATATTATTGATAATAATATTCCGGAACACACAGAAAATTATGATAATAATATTCGTTACATTATATATTTATATACAGTTATCAGTGTCATCAATAATCAACAATCAATAATTCTGTCACCGTTTGCTTTTGTGAATGGAATAAATACCCAAATATGGCCATTTCTTATAAGCATCGGTGGTTCAGTGGTAGAATGCTCGCCTGCCACGCGGGCGGCCCGGGTTCGATTCCCGGCCGATGCATTTTTTTTTTTTTACAATTTTTAAAACTCATTTATATTATTAAATTAAATTTTATTGCCCTCTATCGTTAAAATTTTACACAAATAAATTTACTGGCAATGCGTTTCTTTTTTTTTTTTTTATTATTAATTATATATTTTATATTATATATTATATATATAATATATATTTTATATTATTATTATTAAAATATACAAGTATCAGAGTCATCAATTCTGTCATCGTTTGCTTTTGTGAATGGAATGCTTTTACGTAATATACGTAAAATACGTCACTAATATGACTGAAATTTTAGCAGTATGTATAGTAGAATCTGGAAAAACTTGTATTGAATATTTCAGGTCTCTATCCCGAATATTCTTCGAGTTATTTGCAAATTTGAGTTGCAAATTTGCTCTTTCGCTCGCAAGCAGCGCCTCTAGCGGTGAAGATGGGAGGTAATATCAGCTGACCTAATGTACATGTAAAACGTGTTTTAACAGATAATAGAAAAAAATATGGAAGAGATATTTGTCTTATTTTTAGCCAAGAAAAATTGAAATTGACAGGTTCTGGGCAAAAATAGTTGGTTTTTTAGTCAGAAAATGATTATGACAATATTGCTGTATCATATTTGATTATCAGATACAAAATTATATCCGGAAAAATTCCAAAAAGCAGAGAACACGGGTGAAGCCAGTTCATTTTTAGTATGCAGGAACAAAATTCTAACAGAAAAACATTCATTCGAGCAGAAGACACAAAGCCAGATCATCTCTCTATAAAAATATCGCTTCTCAGACACAAAGTTTGGAGCGGGACGTTTCACAAGAATGACATCCACGGCGCCAATTTATAATTGTAACGAATAGTATTTGAATAAAAGCATTTAATCGGGTAAAACCCGGGCGTTGCCTGGGTCATTCGGCTAGTTATTTCTCTAAAAGTCAGAAAAATGATAAAAATATATTAAAATTTGAATATATTTTATTTCTGACACTTTGTATAATATTTTTCAGGATCAATAAGTAATTATTATAAATATTTAATATATTTTATATAACTTTTTAAATGTATACTACTTTGATTTCACACACAATGTGTTATATATTTGCATTATTCCTACTATAGCAACTAGATCTAATTCCTCAATTAAAAAGACACATATTTAAGGATTGCTCTATTTTCAAAACCATATCTAATTCTATTTTAAAGCATATTTAAGGATCACATAGGCATTTAGAGAATTAATTAACAATGAATAAAAACCCTTTTCAAACTTTTTTTAATACCTAATTAAAAGATAAATCAAAAAGTGAAGGAGAAAATATTCATTTTTGTATTAAGATAACATTAGAAAACAAGTCATCAATCCTCTCTGTTCTTTGACTGTAACACTAATGGACTTTAAAAGAAAGCCAATTTAATATGATTATATATTATATGCATATATATATAAATGGAATATGACAAGAAGATTTTTAAACTTGGGGATAAAAACAACTTTTTTTAAATATATAACTGAGCTAAAACTAAAGAATATGCAGTATATGAAATTAAACTATTTTTTAAAATCTATTTTCTACTACCCTTACACTGCAATGGTAAATTTGGACCTGGCTCATCAGTGGTGAACCCTCCTAGTGGTTTCACCAGTGTAATCTACCATACTGCTGTCATATTGTACTACACTGCTTTGATTTTATACCGATAAGGGCAGTAAAAAATTATTTTATTTTTAAAAGAAGCTTACACATAAAAATAATGCAACTACCAGATGGCGCACTAATACATAATGTTGAAGAATACAGTGATAAATTGATCAATTATGTGAAAATTGAGGACAATGCTTGTGTTTGTTTAAAAGCCCTATTTTTGTGTTGATAAAAAGAATCAACACAAAAATAGGGCAATTTGACAAGCACAACCATTATCCTCAACTTTCACATAATTCATTAATTTATCACTGTATTCTTCAACATGATGTATTAGTGTATTGATGTACATGATGTATTTATCCTTATTTTTTCCAAAAAAAAAAAGGTTTTTCAAACTAATAATTAGATAGAAACCTTTCTGGTAGTATATTAAACAATTTCTCAAAGTTAAATTGCGATGAAATGAGTAGTTTGTTCCGGCATAAAGAATAGGCATATAATCATTTTTTTCTATATGCATGATAATATTTAGAGCAGATTGTTGAATTATAACATAAATTAGAATATTTATCTTGATTATTTTTAGGCAAAAAGTTAATTCAAAAATTTTATTTTCTAGAAACCTTCCCAGTACTATACTAAATAACTTCCCAAAGTTTCATGGCGTTCCAATGAGTGGTTTGGTCAGGCATAAAAGGACAGACACACACACACATACATTCATTTTTATATTTATAGAAGATTTTTCAAAATCTCATTGAATCATTATACAAGGTCACAGAGAGTGGATTCATGGATTGAATTTATAATCTTGTTAGGGTTGGAATACAAGTCCTGTCTTGAGGCTTCCTAACATTCCAAGAGGTGGTCTGGTGAGACCTCTTTGGTCCTGTAGGCATTATGGGAAAATCTTGACACCTACTGGAAAAGGAGTGGTCTTGTGTGGCTGTCAGTTTTGAGCCTGGAAATGCAGGTTGCTGCCTGTCGGTTCATCCCACTTTCCAGAATAGCTCCGGGTTTAGGTACCAATGATGGAATGTTGACTCCTGTATATAAAAAGAATTCTTGAGAAATTCAATATGTCTCAAGCGAATAAAGTGGGAACACCAACTGATAATTCTACTGTTCCTGGGGAAGCAGAGATTCTAGAAAATGTTCCCTTTCGTGAAGCGATTGGTAGTCTGATGCATCTGAGCTGCTTAACAAGACCCGATATCACTTTTGCACTGAATAAAGTTTCTCAAAAACTTGCAGCACCAACAAAATATGACTGGGAAGCAGTTAAACGAATCTTCAAATATCTTGTAGGAAAAATATTTACATGCCAGGATTCTGGATTAATTTTTTCTTAAGAAACTATTTTTTCTTATTCATTATGAGATGATGGGCATCGCAGTCGGCATCCATCGCAGTCACTCACTCAACTCGGGCAATTTCAAGGGTTAATGCACTGGGGCGGGTACCTCGGGGATTGGGTGGAAAACCTGCCATCTATTTAAACTATATTGATGTTGAAACAACTAAATGGATTGCAAAAAATAATTAAATCAAATACCTAAACGCTAATATTGTACAATTTTTGCCATCACACACACTTTTTGCCTGTCATTTATGTGTTACTTCTGTATTGTTATTCTAGGGCACTTCTACTATTTATTATTGATGTACTTTCAGTATGAAGGAAATTGTACTCGGGGGAATTCTCGGGCAAAGCCGGGTCATTTGTCTAGTACATTTATAAATCCCATCTTGAACATTTTTTTTTTTTGTTGAGCTCCTTAATAAAATGAGAAAATTCAAACATCTCTCTTTGTATATGCGAAATTAAAATATATCATTAATACATATGAATATTAAATACACTATTATCAGGTCACGTATTTATTTTCATATTTTAAATTATTTTATATTTGCATTTATTATATATTTGCAATGGTTAAGAAATTCTTAGATTTCTTCCACATTTTGAAGATAAATCTTTATTGTATAAATGGGGAATACATCAATGATTTTTAATTGTGTTAATAAAAATCATGTTGAAACCAATTCATCTTTAATATCCTTAAATTAGAAATGACCATGTTGGAATTTAGATTACAACCTTTGCAGTAACTATCTTCTCATCTTCACATGATCTTTCACCCCACCATTTATAATTTTGAAATATATAATTAGAAAAGAAATTCAAAAAGGATGTTTTCTCTTTATAAATAACTTAAATTTTCATTCATCACATAAATGTGTTCACAATTCAATAAAATAATCCCATGTATTGAGTAAAAAATCCTCTCTGGATGCCTGATAATTTTACTCAACATTAATGTGTTACATTCAGTCAGGTGTCTTCTTATCTCCACTCAATCATATTAGGGTATCAAGTTGTGACTCTTGATGGTGTGACAACCATCATGACTGGGTGAAGTAGAATGCGTCTGCATTTGTCATTAAGACTTGGAGCACTACTTAGTGGCAGGCCGACTTAGCTCCAAAAGAAATGGCCGCCTCTGACATGAAGAACAGACATCATGTGCAGCTGCTCCTATCATGGAGTAAAAATGCTGCTCATCCTGTATCCCTGGATTAGGAGCCCTTACAGGGTACTATCAGCCGGGCCAGCTGAACCCAGGTTTTTTAGTGAGTTTGTTACTGCTCCCCCTCCTTCTCAATTTTCATCCGGGCTTGGGACCGGCAAAGGCGGAATTCCATCAGGTGAGCCATACAAAGTCTTAGCTGTCACTAGAAGTGTGATCTATGTTTCTTCCATCTTATGGCACACTCACTGTTCACCAGTTAGATCAGCGTTCTTACAAAGATGACTGGCTGCACCCCAATTCTTCCTTTCCCATGATTCACCAGGCAAAAACCAAAATTGGTGACATCTTTCCTTTCCTATCAGAATGATTCATTGAAACTGTTCTCTTGTTTATACTACCTCCAAAAAGTAAGGCTGTAAGGAAAGCCCCTGAAGAGCAACTTTGGGTCCTGCAAAGTGATCAAGGCTACCTATGAAGTAAAGCCTTT